GCTCAGTCCTCCTCATTAATGGATCTGTCTTACACTTCACATGGCATGACTTGAGCAGTAAAGGGTGGGTTTGCAGCTTACACCACACACACCTAATCAATTCCTGAGCTGCTTGAATTGCAGAGCTGCCCATTTGATCATTGTGCAAAGATGACAGTGGTCTCGATACCCTGATTAACGTGGAACAAAATATATTTATAACAATAGTTTATTCTAAGCCTGGAGATAAAACTGCCTTTCTGCTGCCAAGCAGTCAGCACCCACGGCATGCAATTAGCAACTTCCTTCCACTGCTTTGAAAGACATTACTATCATGCATGCAGATAGTGGGATTTTTTAGGCTAAGTTATTGAAAATTAAATAGAAAGTTGTGAAAAGGAACAATAAATGGGTTTTCCATCTGAAAGCCAGTGGCTTTATAGGGAAAATCCGTAAGTGTGGCTGGTTTCCTGTATTGTTTGTTACAGAATAGTCATGACACACTTCACAAGTGAAGGGTATTGTAATCACAGTAATGGAAAAATGTAGCTCAGTTGTAAACTTGAACAGTGTTGGGGTTTTTTTGTTTCTGAGATAGCCTCTTAGCTGATTACATTTTTGACCACAAGCATTTCTTAAATGTTAGGCCACATTTTTCTCCTCATTATATAGATGAAACTTGTAAAGAAAACCTTTTCCAGTTTCACAAGTTTCTGATTAATCCAAAGAGCATTATAAATCTACAATAAGTTTGCCTTTTGACTAGCAGCATTTGTAATAGCTTTAAAAAAGTAATCATTAAATGACTAATAACAAGCAATTGCCTTGATGCTCCTTGTTTTCAAATACCTATCTCAATTTAATGTCTTCCTGCAAGAAATTGTCAACAAAAATAATACAAATAAAAATGAGTGTTTGGTTAAAAGATGTCTCTAAACTTTGAAGTGGCAGGACTGGAAGAAGTATTTCTTTTATTAATGGAAAAGTGTTGCTATTACAAGTAACGCTCCAAACGATGACGACCCTTCTGACGTGTAGTGTAATCAGTCTGTACATGGTATGAGCAACCTGTGCTGGGAGTTGGAGTAATGATCACCATACCAAAAATAACCAAAATTTTGCACAGGTTTCAGCAGGACCAGGCGTTCATTTGCAGATGTAGAGCCATGCAGGGCTTAGAACCATTTCTTGCAGCAATTGCCTGAAAGTGCTAAGACCCTGAGACAGAGTGGGATTCAGTTCATTTGAGGAAGAGAGATTGCTGATGGTGCAGAAGGATGTGGAACAGGTGAAGACTTGAGCTGGAAGCAAAACATGAATGGGAAAGGGAGCATTTGTGTGTAGAGGCCGGCAGTGAGAAAGGCAGAAAGCTGAGTCCTTAGTTCACGGTGGAGTCTAGCAGTTGTCTAGATGTGCCTCTGGTTTGCCTGCAGTTCAGTAGGTTTTCCTCCTCCCTAATTTCTTGTCTGGATTTACTACTCATTTTCCAATTCTTTTGGTCAAGTACTGTGTGCCAGGCAGAAATGCTGGCCAGAAGCACAGTCAGCGGTGTCCTAAGATGTATTGCTCAAAGAACGGCTAAGACATCACTCCCAGTTCACGCTGCATTGACAGCTCAAGAGCAAAGAGCCTGAAAAATAGAACCAAGGATGATGAAAGCTGTTCATATTCCTGCCAGAAGCGCATGGCGCTGCAGCTGGTGACGCTCTGTGCCACAGCCCTCAGCTGTGAGGTGTCTAGCACATCTCAGTGAGCAACCAAGTGCTTCCGAGGACAAGCGCTCTCCCACACGTTTCTGTCCAGGCTGGCCAGCGATAGCCTAAAAACAGCTGCTCAGAGAGAAGGGTAGGAGAGAAACTGTGAGTTTGAGCTCACAGCTGATAATTTTAGTCACTTGACTTCCACCCCATGCTTTCTAGCCTGTTCTAAGAAAAGTAGAGTCCCCAGTACAAGACTCTGTCAGGATATTCTCCCAGTGGAGAAGCTTATGTACAGTTAACGTTCTTATCCCCTTTGTAAACCTTGTACCCCTTGTTTACTCCGATGGTTATTAGTAAGGTTAATTACTTACCAGTTTCTGAAGTGTTTTAAAGGTTCTTATGAGACATTCCTGTACCCTTTCCCTTACTTCCTTGCTATTATATAACAAAGCAGCTCCCATAGAAGCTGTGCCACACTAGAACAAAGAAACTCCCAGGAAGCTGTGCAACTGAGTAGTGTGCAAACTAAGGCATGCAAGGCACCAAAACAACGAGCTAAGAGAGGAATAAAAGGACAAGGAAACATATTCTAGCAAGCTATGATGAAAGATCATCTCCCTGCATCACCTAAACCTGCTTAGAAACCATCTTCCTGCATCACCATGACCTAAAGAGGACAGGAATGGCCTGACACCCCTAGACAGTGAACCTGAACAAGAGGCCTCCTGGCTACTTTCCTGAGGATGGAAGCCCCAGCTCTGCAGTGTGTGCTGCAAAGCTGAATTGTGTCTCCTCCTTGGAGCTGACAGTGTGGGAATGGCTGTGGTGCAAGCAACCCCTTGGGGCCCCCCCCCACCCCAAGAGCCAAATCCTAAGAAAGGCATCAAACAGGAGTCTTGCCTCCTGGCCAATTTGTTTCAATTACCGTGTGCCGCACGGGCCGCGGCCGAGGGGGCCTGGACCCAGCCGGAGCTCCTCCCGGAGCCCAGCGGACTCCAGCTCAGCGGGGGCCGCAGTGGGGCATGGCTTAGGCTTGGCAAGGT